TCTCTCTCTCTCTCTCTCTCTCTCTCTCTCTCTCTCTCTCTCTCACACACACACGCACATACACTGACACTAGGTAAATTCACGTATACATGACCAAGACTTCGTTCAGCCTGTATAATGCGAACGAGGAGTAGCGAGAGCGAGTCTTCTGTGTAGGAAGCAAGAGGGAGGGAGAGAGGAAGGGCAGCACGTGTCACGAGGTAAAGAAGTATGGCGGGACTTGGTGTGTTGGTGGGTAATATTAGGTGGCGGCGTGTGTGTGTGGGCGTGAGGAATGCGGTGTAGAAAAGGCGTGGGGGATGCGCGGCCGCCCACACGTGTAGGTAAGTGAACGTAAGAGGAGGCCGGGAGATCCGGATGCTTTGCTTGTTTTTGGCGCTGTTGGCCCCGTGCTGGGAGGATAGGGTCTCGCTCCCGTGGCCGGAATGAGTAGAACGTTGGCCACTTTTACATGACCAGCGTTAATATGTTCTACCTGTGGGAATTACTTTAATTCTAGATTCACTTTGTCATTATTGCATTATTACAGCAATAATTACCATTATTATTACATCGTTTAAATGGAGGAGGTAATGCAATCTTTAGTTTTTCTGTTAACCTTTTTCCCACCAAGATTACGTGAAATGGAAATGAGCAGAAAGGCTGCCAATGGTCCCTGGATCCAGTTGATTAAATTTTGGTGGTGATATAGAGTAAATAAGCAGATGTTTTGGTAGATGTAGATTTAGGGTAGATGATGAGCTTTTTGGCAAAAATTAATAAATGAGTAGAACACTGGGGTTAACTAAGGTTAATGGACTTTATTTAGGATTTGAAGGTATATCAAAAGTTTGTGGTATATTAAGGGAAGATATTAGGGGTAGAAAAGGTAGATTTTGTAAGTAGAAAGATGAGGATAGATGATTGTTATATTGCTCATGGGGCAGAGTAAATATATGAAAAAGTGGCAATTATGTACAACTTGAGGGTAGAGCTAGGCTGATGATGGTAGATTAATGAAGATATTAGTAATAAAATAAGTAGATATTTGCAGTAGACAGATAAGGGCAGATTGTAGACATGAATGAAAAATTGGCCTAGATGAGTAGATTTTAGGATAGACTCAAAGTAAAATCGTGGTAGAGTGTGGTTCCTGGTAAAGATTGGCAAAATAAACAATTTTAGGATACTATAATAGTCAAGCTGATAACAGTAGATTATATCTGAGTAAATTAAGAATAGATAAAAGCATATTAAGGAAGATTGCAGGGTCATAGTAAATAGACTTTTAAGTAGAGGGTGAGGAGAGACTAAACATTAATACAATTGTGCTTTCTTGTTATTATTCTGATTTTATTTTTCTTAATCTCTTATAACCATGCCTATTGCTGCTATTTTGATGGTTGCAGTCTCACCCTTCACCATCATTTATTAATTTTGCTAGACATACATATCACATGATACATCAAAAATTCATTATTGCCAGTAGTAGGTGTACTACTCTTGTTACCATTGCTAGCATACTTGTCATTTCCATAATTATCACAAGTCAAGTACATTTGGGGAGAATGTCAGCCCCCCACACACAAGTAATAGGTTTGATACTTAATATTTTGCATTGAAATACTAGTCCTGTCCTCTGGAAGAAACAATATGAACTAACAAAAAGTGAGCTTATTTCATCAAGCTTCCAAAAAAAACTCCACAAACCATTAAGTTACTAAAGAAAAGCTGCAAAAGGCCTTTCACTGGCATTTTTACATCGCTAAGCCAGAATTGTAAATCAGAAAAATAAACATGATTGGTCTTTTGGAGGTCCTTGTACTAATATTATACCAACACTAATACGCAAAGAATGGAAGCTTCATGGTGTTTCTGCATAATAGTCCAAAGTCATTTTCTTCTATATTTGAGACACACACACACACACACACACACACACACACACACACACACACACACACACACACACACACACACACACACACACACACACACACACACACACACACACACACACACATACATACACACACACACATACATACACACACACATACATACACACACATACACACACATACATACATACACACACACACACACACACACACACACACACACACACACAACACACACACACACACACACACACACACACACACACACACACACACACACACACACACACACACACACACACACACACACACACACACACACACACACACACACACACACACACACACACACACACACACACACACACACACACACACACACACACACACACACACACACACACAGAGAGAGAGAGAGAAGAGAGAGAGAGAGAGAGAGAGAGAGAGAGAGAGAGAGAGAGAGAGAGAGAGAGAGAGAGAGATTGGAACAGACTCCTATAATAAGTGTGCAAATGCTCCAGATGCCCTATATCAAGACATGAGGCCATGGAGCACAATAAGCAGCCAAGGTTGCTATAAGATTGTAGATGACCTAACAGGAAAATCATCTGCTTGACATGCTTATCTGACGGCAAGTTGCGCCATATGAGTAACATCCTTTCTTATACCATGATTTGACATTTTGAGATGTCATCAGTAATTCATGAGACCAATTTATTTATTTGAAAATTGAAATATTTTTATTTTTGGTGATGAATGTTATCAAAGAAATGATCAGTTGCTGACTGTTAGTGTGTTCTATTTGTTATTTTACAATTTTTGGCTGCTAGTACAAAGACATGTATATAGTAATACATGTATTGATCATTATTCTCATATGAAGTGGCAATGCATTTTCAGTATTTTAGTTATGTGCTTTGGTTTTATGTCAATGTGTACTTATTTCCTTTTAGTTATTATTAACTATTATATGTAATTATTTTCATTTACAGTGCATGAGATGTTGCATGTGGCCCGAGAGTGCTCAAACAGGGAAGCAGGCGGTCGACTTTTAACTTTTGGGGAACTCTGCCTCTTCACCACAGAGTTGCGACAATGTTACGAAAAAGAGTGAGCATTCCTTTATTGTTAGAGGTTCTTGGTAACTTTGATTGATGTCAGTGTCTGTTTAATACTTGCTTTGAAACAAATTTAAGTCAAAGATATGTTAGATAATGGATTTATTCTCTCCTCTTCCATAGGACTCCTCGGCCTGCACTTCTTTCAAAGTTGTCAGACAAATCTGTTGGAGACAAGAAAAGAAGTGAGAGAAAAATGTCAAGTGAGTTCAGAAAATGTTGAGAGTTTGTCGTTCATATTCTTGTGATCCTTAGTTATATACATGTCTCTCTCTATAAATTGTAAAATCAAAATTTTGAAGTAGAAATATCTCAACTTTTTATATATTTACAACAGAATCATCACCTAAGTATGAGGTTTTCCTGGGTGGGTCGTGTAACCCCACGACCTGGCGCCAAAATGTGGCGATCCCCATGCTGAAGGACCAGGGCATCTCCTTCTATAACCCAGTAAGCATACACCTTTTGAACTCTCTGTAGTCTAAATTCAAAATCATTCTTAACCTTATAAAGTATATTTTGTTTATTTACTATTCATAAATCTGTTTTTCTTGGATTTTTTATACACTTACACTCTTGATTTTTATGTTGTGTTATAATCTGTACTATTTATTATGAATTTGCTGTTATAAATTGTAAGAAGTCCACCTTTTATAATTCCAGCAAGTGTCCCACTGGGAAGAAGCACTTGTGGAGTTGGAGTATCAGGCAAAACAGACTGCATCAGTACTGTTTTTTGTTCTGGATAGAGCAACTCGTAATGTAGCATCGATGATAGAAGCAGCTTTCATGGCAGGCTGCCGTCGTAAGCTTGTGGTTGTCATGGACTCTTATACAGGTCCTGGGCAGCTGATTGGGGGAGAAGCAATCTCAGAGCTGTAAGTGATTGATTTTGGATTATTTGTTGTATTTTTTAGGGGGAGGGGGATTTGTAAAACAAGGCTACAGCTGTTAGTACAATATATATAGTGAGGTGATAAAGGGGACAAAGACTCTTTTCATTGCAGATAATGACTTGAGATATTCATCCTCTCATTAATTGGAAAATAAAGTATAAATAGATAAGGGAAGAAATCAGTAGCAAATGTTTTTGTAAGTATTAAGTATGTATAGTATGTTCAGTTTTGGATAACAATTTAGAAGATTCACAAAGCATTCTGTCACTTATTAAAATAATGATTTCTTACAGAGAGTACAGGGAACTTACCAATGGCCTCCACACAGTGCAAGACCTTGTGGAGAGGCAAGGAATTCCAGTCTTTCCAGAGATTAATCATGCTCTTAATTGTACAGCTAAGGTATGTTACTTTAAAAGTATTTCCAAACTGTAAAATTTTCAAATTTTTTGCTTTATGTATGGACAGATATTTATATTTTTCCGAGTTTTTTTCCCACTCTTTACTGTTATTAATTTCATAGATAAACTGATTTTGTTTTCTTTTTTATCTTCACTCTTTCACAATTGCATTTTCTCTTTAGATTCTACGTGAAAATCTTCGACCTGAAGACCTTGGTCTTGAAGATCAAGTGCAGCCCATTAAGTATCCATATCTTCAACTTGGAGATAAGCTGATGTAAGTTTGACCATAGTGTTAATGAGTAAGATCTTATGAGGTTCTTGTGAGCTCTGAATGTCAAATCTAAGAACTTGCCATTGAAATACTTTTTTTGTAAGTCTAAGTGTATGTTAACTTTACAGAAAGCTGCATGATGCATTTGTCAACACCAATTCAGAGCATATAACACTAGCAGAGGTAAGTAGCACCTGCTCGATTCACAGTTATGAATAATTACTACTATAGGAACAATGTTAAACACACAAGAATATAGACCAGAATGTAAATATGCAAAATAATGGAACTTTGGTTGATAGAATCATTCTTCCTGCAGGCACGGGTAGCATACAAAGTGGTCACAAATAAGGAACTGACCAATGAAGAACTCCAAGCAATTGTTGCAGCTAAAAAGGGTGAGTTTTACAAAGAGCAATGTAAAGTTTCTCTCTTCTTCTTTGTTTCATTCTTTTTCTTTCTCCTGACCTCAAGATTTTAGTCAGGTCTACCATAGGAAAGATGTGTACATTACCAAAGGTATGACCTGGACAAAAAGTTTGTATGAAATTTTCCACATTTATTACTGAATTATATGATCATCTTTAGTAAATGTTTTTAAAAGTAAGCATTTTATGTGAAGATAATTCCTTGTGAATTACACAATAATGCAACAAATATGTCACATATATGAAACATAAACTAAAGAAATTGAAAAATTATATTGCTTTTACAGGAATGGAGATGCAGGAATTGAATGGCACAGAGCTCCCACTGAGTGATGTCTTTCTCACATTTGATGAATTTTGCTGTATTGTAGCAGAGTTTAAGAATCAGAGATTAGAAAGCAGGAGACTCTGGGATGTTTTTACACACTCGGTTGTATCTCCAATTCAGAAAGTTTTTGGTAAGTTGAAATATTTTTATAAATAACAATATTTTGAACTTAATTGAGAATGGAATTGAACTTAAATGAGAATGGAACTTGAACATATGAGTTGTATCACACAAAGTTCAGAAATATATATATTTTTTCCATATATTGTTGAGATAAGAACCAGTTCTTTCTTGTTTCAGGTTGGGCGTTACCACGGCGACCACTGAGGCCAATTAGCAGTACAGGAGAGCGTGATGTATATCTTGGAGGGTCTTTGGGAAACAGAGAGACTTGGCGTGAAGACATTGCCATTCCTATGCTTTTGAAACATGGGCTCTCCTTTTTCAATCCTGCTGCCAGTGCTTGCTCAGGACGATTGCTGCCCATGGAGGCTGCTCTCATGGAAAACTCAAGGGTTCTCCTCTTTGTTATCACTAACACAACGCTTGGTGTATCTGCAATGGCACTGGTGAGTTGCATTTTTATTTACATGTGGTACATTGATTTGATTATTTTTTTCTAATGACAGCCTTTAATAAAGTAAATGATATATTTATCTTTACAAGTAAATATTTTACATATTCTTTTTCTTATTTTCAGGCATCACATTACATTGGCCTTGGTTGCAATGTTGTTTTATGTATACAGATGTTAACTGCAGATGCAACTATCTGTGGAGAACAGGTCAGTGATATAATTAGTCTTTTATCCAAGAAATGACATACAAGAATGCAATAAAAGTGAATTATTTGGTGTTATATTTTTTAAATTTTGCCTATCTTCTCCCACAGTTATCTCGAACTGCAGTAAAGGACTACAACCGAGGAAGAACATATCTCATAGATCAAGCTAACAAAGAAGGAATTCTAATCTTCAAAAACATCCAGGAAGCTGTTGAATGTGTTATAAACAAATGTCGTACAAGATAGTCAAGCCAAGTTTTTATGAGTGTGATCTGTGTATCAGAGAAATTTTGTGCTTAAAGATACAAGTAAAATCATAAAATTATTTATGATGATATAAGAGGCATGCAATGGGTGTCTGTGTGTTTTTATGGATGATTGGGTGTGGAAAGCATTGATTTACTGAAGCACTGAAATTCTCCGTGTTAGAAAAGGATTCTTCTGAATAAGAATATCCAATGAAACCTAACAAGTGGAGCAGCTAGATTCCCAGAAGTTCGTGTCTCTCACAAACATATGCAGGTGTTGATCACCATCCTTTATCTGTCTTGACAGGTGTAGATGAGTTTATTAGGTGTTGAACAAACATTGTTTACTGGTGTCGGTGAATTTCAACTGTAATATATCAGGCTTATTCAGTTGTGTTCATGAACATTGAACATGTGTTGTGGACTTGGAAGAAGTTGACCTGTTTTCCGGATATGAAATCCAGTCATGATGTGCCACAGGGAAAAATTCATTGTGGGCTTCATGAGTGCAGCTTAAGCTAATGTCCAACCATTGCAGCATAAGAAGAGCAGCAAGAATATGAAAGTGATAAGATTATAATACACATTAACAAGCTTTAAGGGCAGAACTGGCCATGTGTCAGAATAAATGCCTTTACAATAATTTCGAAAAATATTATGTAATTCATGTTACAAATGAAACTGGACAACAGAAAGTGAGGTGAATGATTCCTCTAAGGGAATGTAGAGATTGAGATGAAAGGAACTGATAAAAGTCATCAAAAATCAATCAGGTAACTCCCAAATTAGGGTATATGACCAACCTTTAGAGTTTATTACAGAAGTCCTATTTGATTGGTCATCAAGTTTTTCAAATGCATGATAAATCCACTGTTAAAGATGGAAGTTTCTAATGACCCTTAGGGAGTTTGGGAAATGAATGTGTTTTAAACTAATTTATATAAAATACTCATGTAAGTATCTCGTATGATTTATGTAGTTGCATAAGAAATCTTGTGCCAGTTGAGAAAAGATCCACAGAAAGTGGGGATAGGTCAAGTCGCAGAAAGATCAGCTAGAAATCAGTCATGAGACAGATAGCAAACAGTGGTGGGTCTCTCCTAAAGTTCTGAAATGAATCATCATTATTTAAAGGAAAGCACAG